AAAAAAATGAAAATTGAATCAGTGTATGAAATATTTTACAATGGAAAGATTAACCTAACTGGTTCGAGTGGCCGTATAAACGGGATAAAATTACAGAGGATTAAACAGCTTGGGATTTCACAATGCAACCTCGTTCCCAGGGTCCTCTCCTACTTGGCATCTCTCTCTCTCGCCACGGGGGCCGAGTAGGAGAGGACCCTGGGAATGAGGTTGTTCAGAATGTGGCCCATGTTGGCCGTATCAACGGGGTGGCCGCATTATCGGGGTTTTCTAAAAATTGTGTACTTTTAGATCTTTTAGTCTCCGCCTCTTAAGCAAGATTTCGTTGTTTGAATAACTGATGACGCCACTCATCCTGACGTCACAATGGTCCGGAAAATTCCTGGAAACAATTCCAAATTCAAAAGTTGTTGGATGTCCGACTGATACGAAACAATCAAATGAAATTCTGTAAAATGCCATTGGCCACTGGAAGTTTCCAAAAATTCAAACCAGAAGTTTTAATCGAATGGAAAGAGTCTTGGTGAAATCAAAAAGCGAAAGAGTTACTCCATGCTCACACCATACGTTGCACATTTGCCGAACAGCGAAACCATCCCTTTTAAGATGGGAAGAGACAGAGTTATACTACATTATAATAATTTACCATAAATTCCATTTTCTTTAATGCGCATAATCGTTGCAACCGTTAAGGTGTGACAGGATAATTTTCAATTAAAGGTGGAATCAGCTAGTGCTGTTGCTGATAGAAAATGCATTGTTGACTGCCTTGGGAAATTTAGGAATATAAAGCTTTCGTAAACAGAAATTTCTCTCTGGAAAATGCATGCGTAAGATATTTATTCACGAGTTGTGAATAGTCCCGTTAACCTTGTACGTCAATTCATCACTAGTTAAATGTGATCGTTCACTTCTTGAGGGAGTAGTGATTTTTTCCCAGTGACATTTTATTGTTCGCGTTCCTGATTGGTTGAGGACACACAATACTTTTGCGAGTGTCCGTCAGAAAAACCGGTCGTGCGTAATGATGCAAACTTATAGAAGTTTGGAGAATACTCAAGCAAATAGAGTTGCTCTTAACTGCGCTTCCAGCAACTTCTGTCTTGCTCCACACACTTTCCGCTTGAATCATAACTCGATGGTGGATACTAAAGCATGAATCAGTTGATAAATGCCCAAAGAACAATGAAGAATGTAATACTCTCACCTCCAGTCTCTGGACCCCCGATTCCAGCCCCCGGTCCTTCTTCTCCTGGACCCTCTGTTCCCGCTCCCGGACCTTCCTCTTCTGCTCCTGGACCTTCTTCTTCTACTCCCGGACCTCCTGCTCCGGCTCCAGGGCGTCTACCTCCGGTTCCAGGGCGTCTTCCTCCGAATCCTGGACGTCTTCCTCCGAATCCTGGACGTCTTCCTCCGAATCCTGGACGTCTTCCTCCGAATCCTGGACGTCTTCCTCCGGCCCCCGGACGTCTTGCTGCTGCTCCCGGACGTCTTATATCACCCCCTGGTCTTCTTGCTCCAATTCCTGGAGGTCTTACCTCAGCTGGTGGAAATTCCCCAGCCCCTGCCCCGCCCTCTTGTCCTCCTGCTGGCCCTATCTCAACTTGTATTGTTAAAGAAGCCTGACCGTTTTTCCTGATTATTCCATTTCCCGAAAGTTGTATTTGGGAATCCTGGCTGAAGATGCTTCTGGCCACTGTATTCTGACCTGAAATAAAAAGTATTACACCAAAAAAATATAGAATAACTAGAACTCAATAATAGATAATTACATAATTTGCAAAGCTTTTTAAAACCTTTCCTGTATGACCGACATTAAATCTTCAATGTTTTGTTTGATTTGGATCTGTAATAACCTCTAACGTGTCATGCATTGTCGGCTATAAACCTACTTAAACATTTTCCATAATTGGATAAATTGTTTGTTTTGGTTTGATATTGTGGCTATGGTTCTAAAATTTGATAGACGCTTTCTCTGTGTAATCATAACTGACAGTGCGAAAAAAAAATTTTTTTCATCGACAAACTAGACGCTTTGCTGCGTGTACCCAGGCAGTCGTTATACTGAAAAGCACTATATTGCAATTGAGCTAAATGTTTTGCATTTAAAGTCGTACGAAATTCAATCGAATCAATCACGGTGTTTGCGGAGGGGATATTGAAGGTTTACCATTTGCAAGCTATTTTACCTTTTGCATTTCTTGGAATCGATTAATAGCTTATTACTCGTTTGCAGGCCTTTAGGACGTGAAATAAGTCAAGATCTTCATGTCAACCTATAAACGTTTCAGTCTATCTTCGTTAGACTGCAGAGCAGGCGAACTTTTTTGCGTTTCTCAAGCGAGCGAGGTGAGCGCGAGGGATTCACCGTGAGGGGAGGAGCTTTTCTCGTGCTGCGCGCTTTCCTCGCGCTCAGAAAATACGCAAAAAAAAAAAAAAGAGAAACAATGTCTGTTGAAAGGTGCCCACTTATTTGAATCTACCGTTCATCTTACTGTGCAAAACATACGATCTTCACAATAAGTCAGTTTCCCAACAAAGAAACTGATCTTTAGATGGGTATTATTTTATATTATATGTAACGTTCAATAATTTGTTTTCAAACTTCTGTATCTGTCTTTTGTTATTGTTTTTTTTATTTCTCCACTTGACGATTTGAATAATTATATTAGCGTTAAAATACAATGTCGAGTGCAAGGAAAGCAAAAATGGCAAGATAAAGGAAACAAATTAAACTACCACGCGTTTGAAAACTCGTGGGGCTTGTTCTTTCTAAGTTGCTAGCGTCATCAAAAACACGTTGCGGCGGAAGCCCTTTAACAAAAATGTCCGGAGGTGTGTTTTAAAACAAAAGTAAACAAGCATGACGAAAGTGCGATATAATAAACTACCTACTAACCTAGCTTGCTGGGTTGTCTTTGTACGGACCGAGCGAAGCGAGGGTCCGTACTGCCACGCCCTCGCGCCAATATTCCCCAGAACGGCCCTCGCGCTCGGTTAGTAACAGGTGAACAGTTTTTTAAAGACAAACATTTGGGAAAAGCTTTTGATAATCTTCTTCGCATTCGTATTTGCGACGTATCCTGAACGAGGCTGATTAATTTTTAACGGCAAGTAGTTCCACTAAGTGTTGTAAACGCTTTTATACTTAGATATTTTTAGAGGGCTACATGTTCATTAGTTTTATATCTCAGTGAAGTGTCACACTTTTTTGAGTTTGATTGTTTGGCTGATATAGAACTGTTAATAACACGCGATGTTTTGTTGTATCAGATTGAAACGGGGGGCTTGAATGAGATTAGGAGAGTCCTAAGTCTGTTAATTAGTATTTAAAAATTATTGCTGAAAGACTAGGTTATTTATAACCATACCTTCAGGAAATAGTCCTTTTATGACCTGTTGTCGTTTACCTGCAGCTGTGAAGCAATTTAAAACTCAGCGATGCGAGAGAAAAAAATCAGCTCGTTCGTGAATTAAAATTGTTTGACTCTACCTGCTTGAACTGCCACAACGGTCAGCAAGACAAGATAAGAAATCCACATGTTTTTGGCGCAGAACTGAAGAAAAAAAAAACCATGTATGCCATANGTCGTTATACTGAAAAGCACTATATTGCAATTGAGCTAAATGTTTTGCATTTAAAGTCGTACGAAATTCAGTCGAATCAATCACGGTGTTTGCGGAGGGATATTGCAGGTTTATCATTTGCAAGCTATTTTACCTTTTGCATTTCTTGGAATCGATTAATAGCTTGACTCGTTTGCAAGCCTTTAGGACGTGAAATGAGTTAAGGTCTTTATATCAACCTATAAACGTTTCAGTCTATCTTCGTTAGACTGCAGAGCAGGCGAACTTTTTTGCGTTTCTCAAGCGAGCGAGGCGAGCGCGAGGGATTCACGTGAGGGGAGGAGCTTGTCTCGTGCTGCGCGCATTCCTCGCGAAAGGTGCCTACTTATTTGAATCTACCGTTCATCTTACTGTGCAAAACATACGATCTTCACGATAAATCAGTTTCGCAACAAAGAAACTGATCTTTAGATGGGTATTATTTTATATTATATTTAACGTTCAATAAATTTGTTTTCAAACTTCTGTATCTGTGTTTTGTTTTGTTTTGTTTTTTCTTTATTTCTCCATTTGACGATTTGAATATAGTAGCGTTAAAATACAATGCCGAGTGCAAGGAAAGCGAAAATGGCGAGATAGAGGAAACAAATTAAACTACCACGCGTTTGAAAATTTTTAACGGCAAGTAGCTTTTATACTTAGGTAATTTTAGAGGGCTACATGTTCATTTGTTTTATATATATCTCAGTTAAGTGTCGCACTTGTTTGAGTTTGATTGTTTGGTTGACATAGAACTGTTAATAACACGCGATGTTTTGTTGCATCAGATTGCAACGGGGGGCTTGAATGAGATTAGGAGAGTCCTTAGTCTGTTAATTAGTGCTAAGTGCTAAAAGACTAGGTTATTTATAATAATACCTTCAGGAAATAGTCCTTTTATGACCTGTTGTCGTTTACCTGTGAAGCAATTAAAAACTTAGCGATGCGAGAGAAAAAAGCCAGCTCGTCCGTGAATTAAAATTGTTTGACTCTACCTGCTTGAACTGCCACAACGGTCAGCAAGACAAGATAAGAAATCCACATGTTTTTGGCGCAGAACTGAAGAAAAAAAGAACCATGTATGCCATAAGATGGTTCTCTGAGATTGACTTGTTTGCATAAAAGAGAAATTCTCATCATTAAACTTCAAACTAAATGAGACTAAATCACTATTAGCACTATGGATTAGTATAGACAAAATGTCAATGCAAACATTTTTATAACAAACACCAACACCCCTTCAGTTTTAAGGGAAGCAGCGTCTGGAGTGTTGCTGTAATGCAATACGTAATAAAATAGGGTATCCAAACATTTCGATTGCCATTACAAAAGGTCACTGTTTTACTCATTAGTTCCAAATAATTTCTGTGTAATGTTTTTTTTTTCAAAAGAATAATATTTCGTCGACTTGTGAGTTATTTATCCGTTGATTGTGGACGCGAGAGGAANATTGACTTGTTTGCATAAAAGAGAAATTCTCATCATTAAACTTCAAACTAAATGAGACTAAATCACTATTGGCACTATGGATTAGTATAGACAAAATGTCAATGCAAACATTTTTATAACAAACACCAACACCACTTCAGTTTTAAGGGAAGCAGCGTCTGGTGTGTTACTGTAATGCAATACGTAATAAAACAGGGTATCCAAACATTTCGATTGCCATTACTAAAGGTCACTGTTTTACTCATTAGTTCCAAATAATTTCTGTGTAATGTTTTTTTTTTCAAAAGAATAATATTTCGTCGACTTGTGAGTTATTTATCCGTTGATTGTGGACGCGAGAGGAAGGGTACACACGTATTCTTGAGTACTTTCTAGTTCATATATAGTTAATAAAATTTGACTAGGTTCCGTTTTCGTTACGGGAGTGGTCATTCGTTTTGAAAGGTTTCCATTAAGAATGAACAAAAATGTATCGTTTTTTGGTAACGATCATGAGCTATTTTGAGTAAAAAAAGTTTTTTTAAGTCACATACCAGATTGTCCTTTACCAGAACGAAGAAAAGACCTTTCTACCTTTCTACCTCTTGTGGCGAACGAAGCACAGAGTAGCGCTGCGTGTTAATATGTAAAAGCGGAACTTTTGCTCAGAGAAAAAACCTTATTGGCTTAAGTTTGAAATCGACCTGTTTTTTTCTAACGCTTGGAAAAACGTTTTCTACGGATCACAGTTTTTGGAGTAGACCCTTGCTGTAAAATATTTAACTCTCTGAAACGTTATCGTTTTGACCACTTCACTGAAGAATGTCGTTTGTCGACTTGTGAAAGGATTAGGTTCGTGTTTCTCTTGAGCAAGGCTCGAGTTTTGCTGAATGCTCGGAAATTGGACTGATTATAAAAGTTATGGTGGGAACCATTCTCGCCACAGGGGAGGTCATGACCCTGAGTCTGTGTTTCANTGAGATTGACTTGTTTGCATAAAAGAGAAATTCTCATCATTAAACTTCAAACTAAATGAGACTAAATCACTATTAGCACTATGGATTAGTATAGACAAAATGTCAATGCAAACATTTTTATAACAAACACCAACACCCCTTCAGTTTTAAGGGAAGCAGCGTCTGGAGTGTTGCTGTAATGCAATACGTAATAAAATAGGGTATCCAAACATTTCGATTGCCATTACAAAAGGTCACTGTTTTACTCATTAGTTCCAAATAATTTCTGTGTAATGTTTTTTTTTTCAAAAGAATAATATTTCGTCGACTTGTGAGTTATTTATCCGTTGATTGTGGACGAGAGAGGAAGGGTACACACGTATTCTTGAGTACTTTCCAATTCATATATAGTTATATAAAATTTGACTAGGTTCCGTTTTCGTTAAGGGGGTGGTCATTCGTTTTGAGAAGTTTCCATTAAGAATGAACAAAAATGTGTCGTTTGTTGGCAACGATCATGAGCTATTTTGAGTAAAAAAAGTTTTTCAAGTCACTTACCAGATTTTCCTTTACCAGGAGATAGGAACGAAGAAAAAACCTTTCTACCTTTCTACCTCTTGCGGCGAACGAAGCACAGAGTAACGCTGCGTGTTAATATGTAAAAGCGGAACTTTTGCTCAGAGAAAAAAACCTCATTGGCTTAAGTTTGAAATCGACCTGTTTTTTTCTAACGCTTGGAAAAACGTTTTCTACGGATGACGGTTTTGGTGTAGACCCCTGCTGTAAAATATTTAACTCTCTGAAACGTTATCGTTTTGACCACTTCACTGAAGAATGTCGTTTGTCGACTTGTGAAAGGATTAGGTTCGTGTTTCTCTTGAGCAAGGCTCGAGTTTTGCTGAATGCTCGGAAATTGGACTGATTATAAAAGTTATGGTGGGAACCATTCTCGCCACAGGGGAGGTCATGACCCTGAGTCTGTGTTTCAGCCAAAAAGAACCGACCAGTTACCATCCTTAAAGAAGGATTTCTCGGGCTAGCATCACATCTTTTTGTTCTGTCCACTCCATCTTGTTCTGTCCATTCCATCTACGAGTTGAAGATAAACTATAGTTAAAAAATAACTCGATGGAATTAAACCTTATACTATTCGTGTTTTACTAAGAGATGTAAAATCATTGCGAAAAATAACGAAACAATTTAAGTTTATAAACTTTGCCTGCTTTGAAATGTCAAATGTCAAGAGCAAAAATTATTTTACATGTAAAACGTGTATTGCTAAAGCAATTAATTGCGATTTTTAACCGAAGTTTGTATCACCGCTCATTGAGAAAAAGACAGGTGTATTTTTAGACTGCCAAGATTACACACACACCTTGTTGTACTAAACATAGATTTT